AGATTGCTCCATTGGAGATCCACCTAAAGACAGACCGATAGGCGATAGATAGCTAATTGAAACCGTAAAAAATCCTAATCAAAATATAAATCAATAAGAAATGAGATACCTTAGACAGCATTTTAAAGAAAGCGCTATGTTAATGGTTAATGTTAATTTATTGTTCCCTGTTTGTAGCACTGATTGTACGAGAATTTCATATTCTGTAGGCGGGAAATAAATTAAATCGAATTGTTCGAGATAGCAAGTGTATATTTTGTATTTATTTCATTTAAAACAGACTGAAAATCTTGAAAGAAACTTCTGTTATTTGTAGTCCCAGCTTATTCTCGCTGTACTGCATCACAGCATCTTGGACATGTAGGGGCCATCCAGTTCATATCCCATTTTTCTGTAGTAATTACGCGTACCGACACCTGAAAAAGGAAGTAGGAAGATTTGTCAAGGTGTGCATTTAAATATATGCCAAGACACCATGTTCGTAAATTATAGAGAAATGATTGTGAGAGGGGGAAGAATCCCAATTGACACATCAGGACTCTAACGTCAAAGAAGGGACCTGAGTGTACAGAGGCTGCTTTTAAGAATGGCCAGCATGTAGGCACAACTTAAAAATCCCGTGGATAACACCAACATTATAAACAAGGACGTCGTTGTAAAGTTGCTACAATACCGTTGGTGGCAGCGGCTTTTACCTGAAATGACGGCGATCTTGGTGGAGCCGTGTTCTTCCCTGGCGATGCGCTCGGCCTCCTCCATGAGCAGCATTCCAAAGCCCTGGTGCTGGAAGCGGGTGGGGTCCCGCGCGCTGACGGGCACCACGCTGCCGTACACGTGGAGCTCCCGGACGATGGAGCACCGTCCGCCGACGAGCTCGGGCCGGTAGGTGGTCTCGGCGCACCGCCGCAGTCGCAGCAGCCCGACCAGGATGTCCTGGCCAGGGTCCTCGTACGCCAGGAACGTCTCCCAGCCCCCGTTGGCCACGTAGTCCCGCCGCACCAGCTCCACCTGCGGCAAAATCAAAGTTAGTAAATGGCTTATATCAGCCATGAACAGAAATGGCGAAGTGCCTTGTTGGGCCCCATAGCAGTGTATCTCTTACCTCGTAAGGGCGAATCTTATGATGGATTTCTTGGATGCCCACCTCCCTCGTACGGACATCTCGGCAGTCGGTGCCAAGATCCTTCATGCGAGCCAAAGCTAGTTCTCGTAGATTGCCATGCTCCACACCCGAACTAAAAAGACAAACAAAAGAAAACGACATTGAAAAAGTTTGGATCAAAATCGCACCCCATTCAAGCCCCCTCCCCC